GCTGGTTGAAGTTAGTTCCTGGGCTCCGTGGTTCTGAAAACGATGATTCTCCGCCAAATTATCATGGAACTGTTCTGGGTGAACAATACCTTCCAAATGGTGTGCTGGTTAGTCAGCAAAGAGCTGGAGTCACAGGAGACTAATCACAATTTTATTTACAAGAACAATTAACAATGAGCAAGTTACAATATCTTAGAAAATAAGTGAGGGGGCCACAGAGAGTCGGTACAACACTCTGGGCTGTGGGAGAGAGGTCTGCTTGGTAAGAGAGTCAAACCCCTTCTCTGCTCAAACTTTGCTACCGTATGTATTTAACAAAAATTTGAACAATAAAAAGGAATATGATTGGTTGATACACGATTGGTTGTGCCCTATGCTAAATGAATGGCTAGACAGAGAGGAATACTTAATCCTGTTAATCCTGTTGGACTGGCACTAATCTTGTTGACATATTTACTGGATGCTTTGGAAAGAGATTATCCCTTAAAATCGCAGAAGTAAGCTTAAACCTACCCATCTCCAAATCAGAAATTAAAAGTGTTAACAAACATAAAATCACAAAAAAATGGCATAACCTATATCAAAACTCAAATAGCCAAATCAAAAAGGTTCTCAAAAAACCCCTAACCAAACCAAAAATTCTACATCCATCCAAAAAAATTGACAGAGTAATTACTAAACTCCAAACAGGACATACCAACCTAAATAACCACCTCAAAATAATAAGAAAACATGCAACAGGAACCTGCCCACATTGCAAACAACAAGAAACCCCAGAACACGCACTCATACACTGCACCCACTACCTAACACACCGAACTACACTACAAACCACCCTAAATCTAAATAAGGCTCTTACTCTAGAAGCAATCCTAAACCCACAAAATAAAATAGAAAAATTCAAAGCCTTAGGCGTATACTTAATCAAAACAGGACTAATAAATCGCATTTAAAACCCCAATAAACTACCAAAACCAGACCACATAATCAAACTAACAAACTTCCATACTCAGGTCTCTTAGTTCGTCCCCCAAACCCTCTTGGCATTTTTTTCAAAATTTCCAAAATTCTATATAAGCAACCACTAAAACACCCCTACAACTTTTTCCCCTTTTCGGAAACACATTAAATGGCTTGGCCGGGCCCATGTGCGAAATACGCTGCAGTCGGAAAGCGCACATAAATTCTCCAATATAAGTAAGTAAGTAAGTAAGAGATTATGGTGTCACTATAGACAAGGTTGTGTTGGGGCTAATCCTTAATGAGTCTAAATTGCTGAATGTTATTATCCCCCGCCGCGCGAAAGCGCGAAGCGGGGGATATAGTATTCACGACCGTCCGTACGTACGTCCGTACGTCCGTACGTCCGTCCGTACGTCCGTCCGTACGTCCCACCTGTTTGTTGCCGCGATATCTCAAGAACTAAACACTGGATTGTCTTCATATTTGGACCTATGGTGTATATACAGACTCCGCAGACACCAGTCGGTTTTGGTGACCTTGATCCCATTTTCAAGGTCACAGCAGACAAATCTGCTTTTAGAGTTGGAAAACGGTGTTGCCGCAATATCTCAAGAACTAAACACTGGATTGTCTTCATATTTGGAACTATGGTGTATATACAGACTCCGCAGACACCAGTCGGTTTTGGTGACCTTGATCCCATTTTCAAGGTCACAGCAGACAAATCTGCTTTTAGAGTTGGAAAACGGTGTTGCCGCGATATCTCAAGAACTAAACACTGGATTGTCTTCATATTTGGAACTATGGTGTATATACAGACTCCGCAGACACCAGTCGGTTTTGGTGACCTTGATCCCATTTTAAAGGTCACAGCAGGCAAATCTGCTTTTGGAGTTGGAAAACGGTGTTGCCGCAATATCTCGAGAACTAATCACTGGATTGTCTTCATATTTGGAACTATGGTGTATATACAGACACCGCAGACACCAGTCGGTTTTGGTGACCTTGACCCCATTGTCAAGGTCACAGCAGGCAAATCTGCTTTTGGAGTTAGAAAACGGTGTTGCCGCGATATCTCAAGAACAAATCGCTGGATTGTCTTCATATTTGGAACTATAGTGTATATACAGACTCCGCAGACACCTGTCGGTTTTGGTGACCTTGATCCCATTTTCAAGGTCACAGCAGACAAATCTGCTTTTAGAGTTGGAAAACGGTGTTGCCGCGATATCTCAAGAACTAAACACTGGATTGTCTTCATATTTGGAACTATGGTGTATATACAGACTCCGCAGACACCAGTCGGTTTTGGTGACCTTGATCCCATTTTCAAGGTCACAGCAGACAAATCTGCTTTTAGAGTTGGAAAACGGTGTTGCCGCGATATCTCAAGAACTAAACACTGGATTGTCTTCATATTTGGAACTATGGTGTATATACAGACTCCGCAGACACCAGTCGGTTTTGGTGACCTTGATCCCATTTTAAAGGTCACAGCAGGCAAATCTGCTTTTAGAGTTGGAAAACGGTGTTGCCGCGATATCTCAAGAACTAAACACTGGATTGTCTTCATATTTGGAACTATGGTGTATATACAGACACCGCAGACACCAGTCGGTTTTGGTGACCTTGACCCCATTGTCAAGGTCACAGCAGGCAAATCTGCTTTTGGAGTTAGAAAACGGTGTTGCCACAATATCTCAAGAACTAATCGCTGGATTGTCTTCATATTTGGTACTATGGTGTACAGGCGGGGGATATTTCGTCACTCTGTGACAAATACTTGTTCTAATATAGGTGATGACAGATTTACTTAAATAAAATAGTTCCAGGTAATCTATAAGACTATGTAGACATATCTTTTGTCTGGGAGATGGGATCTTGATACCTTAGGCTAGCATTTATCTAAAAGCTTCCTAAACAATCGTAAAATAACCGTGGGTATAGACCAAACACTATCGGTCCAATGTCCCCTAGAAAATGGCACTCCCCAGGGCAGTATCCTCAGCCCCACCCTCTTCAATATAATGATAAACGATCTATTCGAGGGCCTATCCCCTAAAGTAAACACATCAAAATTCGCGGATGATGGAGCCATCTGGATCCGCACTAAAAGCATGAAAATGGTCCAAAATTTACTCCAAAAATCTCTTAATAAAATACAACAATGGGCTGACAAATGGGGCTTCTCCCTTAACTCAGAAAAAACAACAGGAATAGTATTCAAACATAAAAACATGAAACCCGCCTCCCCAATCCTGCACACACTACCTAACACATCGAACCGCATTACAAACCACCCTCAATCTAAACAAGGCTCTCACTCTAGAAGCAATACTAGACCCACAAAATAAACTAGAAAACTTCAAGGCCTTAGGCGTATTCTTAATAAAAACGGAACTAATAAAACGCATCTAAAAACACAATAACCTACCAAATCAAAATCACATAAACACACAAACACCCACCATACCCAGTTCCCTTAGTTCTCCTCCCCAACCCCATCGGCATCTACTCCAAATCTCAAAATTCCCAAATTCTATATAAGCAACCCCTAAAACCCCCCTCTTGGGTTGCACAGACCACTTTCGCCCCTTTCGGAAACACATTAAATGGCCTGGCCGGGCCCGTGTGCGAAATACGCCTCAGTCGGAAAGCGCACGTTAAATCACCAAAGTAAGTAAGTAAGTAAGTAAGTAAGTAAGTAAAAGCTTCAAATCTATGAAACTATGTAGACGTAACTCTTGTCTTATTGAATAGTATGTCTAGGAGATGCGCTCCCATTACCTTAAGCTAGCATCTGTCTAAAAAGGTATAACTGAAACTACTGATATTTTATATATGCATTTTTCCTGATGATAAGTATTACTTGCTAAACTATTATATGAAATGATGTATAAATATTACACCATGATAACTCCTAAATGCACTTGATGTGGATCTAATTATTGTAGGATAACTTAGTATAAATGTTACACCATGATACATTTAATAAGGTTGATTTATAGTCTCAAGACAGCGCCATTGGAACATTTAAAGACTCTTGTATAATATAGTGTTACACTTTATGGATTCATATCCTGCACTCGATGAAGTATCTGAAAAGATGGATACTGCTGATGGATTTCGTTTGCAACAAATAAGTGAAATTTAACAGCAGCTGGAGAAGGAGCGTGATTCTCAAATTGAGTTGTATAAAAAGTATCATAGAGCTGTGAATGCTCTTGATGGAGTTGACACTGCACTTTTAGTAACTAGCATGGGTCTTGGTGTAGCTCTTGTTGGTTTATTATCAACTAAAATCGCTGTACGTATCGTACTCGGTATGGAAGTAGCAGCTGGAGTCACTGGAGTGGCAGGAATAGCTCTTAAATTTATTTCTCGCCAGATGCAAAAGAAAGCATTAAAACATGATAGTATTTGTGTGCTTGCTGAAGCAAAGGTAAATGGCATTGAGCGTCATATCTCAGCAGCACTAGCTGATTGCAAGATATCTGAGGAAAAATTTCGTTTAGTGTTGTCAGAACTCACCAAACTCAACACAATGAAGCAAGAGATTCAATCAAACACTCGTAAGACAAGTGGCATTAATGAAGATGAAAAAAACCAAGTTCATAGAACAAACACACCAAGCATTCTGTGCCCAAACCAGAGATTAAGAATGAATTATTTCCTCTATTTAGAATGGCATCTTGATATGTGACAATTATTGGATGGTCATCACATGATTAATAAAACTTAAGACCCCCATGTAAGCATTTTAAGGAGCTGGACCTGGTCCAGATGGGGTGAGCCGGTACCCCCGTCATCTATAACTACTCATACTGTTGTATCTTCATAAGTATTTAAATAAGGGAAATACTTAAATTCCCAATTTTTCGCTCACTTGAAAATTGATTGCCCCTCTGAATGATTGCTTGTGAACCATTTCTTTTGTATTTTGTTAACCTCATTTTGTTAACTTAGGAGACATTCACTTTTTGCCTACATACAACTTAACAAATTGAAATGTTGTCAGTAAACTGTGTTTTCCCCAGATGAGCCGATTCCATCAGAACATAATCCAAGTAGGACATACTGTGTCCATGCTTGGCCAGGCAGATTGGCCCCCTGTTGACAAGATTTGCAGCTCTGTGCCCCGGCTTGCTGTCATGTGGAGAGACTACCAACACCTCATCAAATACAACAAGTACTTGGTGAGTACAATCATCTAGTTGCACTTTTGTGTAAATTGATCCAGTGATCTAAAAATTTAAGCAGCTGGTGACATTTCTATTACTCAATATTTTTAATATTGTTGTCATAACTTTTCTATTGAACAATTATCAGAATTTCATGCAGACAGAGATGTTGTTCATGTTTAGCTCACCTGACTGAGAGTCATATGAGCTTAAATCTTGACCTGCTTGTAAGGGACCACCTCCAAGGTCTAGTGGATAGAATGTCTGCACGGAGAGCGGAAGCTCGGGGGTTCAATCCCTAGATATTTCATACCAAAGAAGTTAAAAGATGGTACTTGCTTCCCTGCCACGCGCTTGTCATTAATGAGATACTGGTGAGCTCAGAGTCAGTATACTGCGTGCATCTACTCAGAAGCTACTGGACCAGTGAAGCAGAAACATTGCATGCTTCACATCACCAATGATGGCACCTTAATTTGTTCAAGAAATTTATGTTAAGATGTATGTTCTGTTTTTCTCTTCAAGTTTGACCGTGATCTGACCGTAACACTAAACACAGTGCTCCTACATTTTTCTTGCACAATAAACATCATCTCCCCATAAACCACTGGAACAATGAAGCTGAAACTTCACATGCTTCATCTCACCAATAATGACATCTTAATTTGTTCGAAAGGTTTGAATCTGATTTTCAATATTGGTATGACAGCCATTATTCAAATAACTGTTTATGGCCATTATTCAGTCAGGTTTTTTGTCAAAATGTAATGAAATCTGTTATAATTCTTACTTCTACCTCTATCTGCCATAAAGCCTGTATTTTGGCTTCAATCACACAAACTAAACTTTTCAGATTTTCAACAGACATCCTCTTCACTGTCAATTACTCACAATTAGTTGCCGCCAAGTAGTCTCGTAACTACCCATGCTGTGACGTCACAATGGTGGCCAGATCACTTTTTTCCTGTGTAAGCTAGAGTCAACACCTACTATAGTAGTAGTGACAATCTAGCACCTGGTAGTAGATCACATTAACCTAAGATTATTCTAATAAGATTGCTATAATAACGGACATATAAATAAATATATATTTAAAGTAATAGTGCTGCTGAAAGAGATTACACGCATGTGAGTACAGCTGGTGTTGGGTTTGTGAGGTCACCATGCAGTCTCCCATCACCCCCGGGTGTAAGAAGTATGGTCGATTTATGACCACGGAAGATCCTCATGTAAACAGCACGAAGTGCAGAGGGAAGACCTGCAAATTGGAGAAGAGATGTGAGAAATGCACTCACACATCCAAAGAGATATTCTCCAAGATGTCAGAGGCCAAGAGGAGAGGGGCGGCGAAGAAAAAGGTTTATAAGATCATCACTAAGAAATCAGTTTCTACTCTAGCACCTCCCTCTCCAGCAACCCAATCATCTCCTGCTCTCACCCTGAGCCTCATCAAACAACTTCTGAGAGAACAGCAGGAGATGATGAAAGACATGCTTGATGCTAAGCTGGCGGATATTGACGCTAAGATCACGACGGTAGCTCTGGCAAAGACTACCAGATCTTTGTCCATGGCCTACACAAGATCTTCTTGCTGAACCGCACGGCCAGCCAACGAAGCACGGCCAGGCCATGGGCCCAACATGGATCCACGTTACCAACCCATGGACCAGTCACAGCACGCTACCTGGCCAGCCACCACTAGACCAGAGAACAATAGTGTACAGGAACCACACGGTATCAAGGGACAGGCCATCCATAAGCAACCAGCTATACCAGCCAGATGGCATTCCATATGATGGATAAGCTGAAGATCTTTACCACCCTATGCCTACACTTCAGCCGCATGTGACAGAGGATTCACCACCCCAGATGCCGGAATACGGGGGATGTCATGCGCCTGCTCCATCTCAGCTAATCATCATATGTTACCTTGGCCCAGCTACGCGGGCAAAGTCGTAGACAAATCGAGGGATAGCATCCATAGACTCAAGCATGATGAACGTCTACCTCTTCCACCTATGAAACGGAAGTTATACAAGATGCACAATGCTATAATTCTGGAGTTTCAACACTTGAATGAAGATTGCTACAAATTACAATCCCGACATGAAGCTTACATTATCAGCATCATGTTTCAAGGACTAGCATCGGTTGCCAGATACTCCATGGATATCGTGGGGCTTAAATATAAATTGGTTCGCCGCCAGAATCAGACAGACCATACCACCACTACAGCCATCCTATGAAGGAATTGCGCCAGAAACACCCATGAATTTTAGGACCGATCAAGTCGGACTAATTTACAGCCTCCTTGACTCAACATCAAGATGCAGGAAGATTTACTACCATCCCAAGTCTGGACTTCCTCACAGTTACTGAGACTACAGCAAAAACAGCTCCTATCCCAAATTAGGTCAAGGGCCGTATCTAGCCAGACCAGGAAGTTCACTGATGTCGCAACCAATATCAGTGAGCAAAACTTTCAACGGGAAATGTGATAGATGAAGTGAAACAAGATACAGCAGAGCGTTTTCAGACTTCAACCATAGGCCTTGAGCTCATGAGTCATCACATTCTCACAAGCGACCATAAGGGACCATAAGGGACCATAAGTCATCTGTGCCCGGGTAGGATTTGTTCCAACTGAGTCAGGGATACCACAAGCGCCAGTCTTTTCAGGAATCATCAGCATTTCAAGAAACATCCTATCTTGAAATCTCAAGCCATCGGACGCAGATTTCATCTAGTCGGTGCCAAGCTAGCGGCAGCAGATCTGTTGGTCAGGAAGCTACTGAAGAAGCAAGCCATTCGGAGACCAGCAGAGACCAATAAGACCAAGGTTTTATTTATTCCTAGTTCCGAAGTAGTATACTACCAACATGAGAAGGAGAATCAACCTAAAAACACTCAACTGGGTCTTAGTTCACAACACCAGACCAGCCGTAATTTTTTTCATGGGGATCAACTTGCTCCTGCAACATCACAGTTCCTATTCAGAACTTGGACACACCACTGGTCTGCCTGGGAGGAGCTTGAAACCAGTCGATTCAATATACGAGATTACAGTTTACTTCGAAGGGAGAATTACATGTCACATGTCTAGACTGATTGTAAACATTTTCACCGTCAGGTCAACTGAATTAGTTGGATCCGTGCAGTATATTTGTACAGACTGACTTACATGATCGCTTATGCGTAACATTACAACCACTCGACCAGACGCCTGCCGCTCTACATCATGTAGCCGATTCATAACTACAGCAGACGTCCGATGCCTTCAGGCACGGTGAACGAGACACCACGCACCATCGTCCCCCGATATAACAACGGGAACGCTTATGCGAAGCCCAAGAGATGGAAATGATTCCTACGGTACAATCTTTCAGACCAAGTAATTTTTTATATTCAACCTGTCCTACATGATACATTGTTGATTTCTTCCCACGACTGCTCCTCGATACAGAATGGGTGTGCCTATATGTCTATCAAGGATTTGGCATTGGTTCGCTGACAACACATTTTCATGTTTTGTCATATCCCATAGATGCCACCGAAGGATACTCTTTCTATCCTGTAAGACCAACTCGAACAAGGATAACACAAAGGCTACTTTAGTAGGATGGATGAATGCCACAGTTGCACAAAGCAGTACTCAGGCTCAGAATTCAATGCCACGCCCCGGACCCTGCTCAGCTTACAAAATAAGAGCCCAAGCTATGAGTCTCACGACATGGACTACAGTTTCAGTAGAACAAGTAGTTTCCAGCTCTCAGTGGGCCTCACAAAACACCTTCACCAGCTTTTATTTCCGTGACGTACAGCTGGACCTACAAGGCATGTATTCCGTTGGTCCGGTGGTCACAGTGCAAACAACTATGGTCCAACAATAGTTTCACCCCTTCTATCGAAAAAAAGGGGTCGGGGGGGAGGGGGGGGGGGGGCGACACCAGCAGCATCAGAGGGTAAGTACACCCTTGATTACTCTGCTTATTAGGTGTAGGATGGATCAGAAGCACCTTACATGTCATCTGTCACCATTAACTGGAAGTGATGTCAGCACTGAAAATAGCTGAACAAAACCCTTCTAACCAGGAAATGACGTCTTTGGGGTAGAAATAGACCTAAAGAGAAGTCATTACCAAAAAGGAGAAGTGACATACGGAAGTGACATCAGAACCGGAAGTGACGTCAGAACTGACAGTGATGTCAGAACCAGAAGTGATGTAATTGCCGGTATTATAGGTCACTAATCCAGGTTTATTATGGTCAAAATCAGCAAATATAACGGTAAATCTAGTGATAATATCACATATTTGACTGATTATTGACATAGTTCCTGATTTTCAAGTCCTCAAGGGGAATTTCAGAGGAAATCTCAGTTGGATTAGAATCAGTACATTATGGTTTCCAGAAGAATTACCGAACAATAGTTATCATTGTTAATAATTCTAAGAATACTGCCTCTATTACATCCGAATTACTCCCTCCCACCTCCCCAATTCATCCTCCTCTAGTAGGAGATGAGGAAAAAAAGTGATATGGCCGCCATTGTGACATCACGTCGTGGGTAGTTACGAGACTACTTGGCGACAACTAATTGACAGTGAAGAGGATGTCTGTTGAAAATCTGAAAATTTATGTTAGTTTGATTGAAGTTTGTTCATAAAAAATATAAAAGGGACAGAGTTAAAACTTTGTGTAAAGTAGGGCTGGGAAGAGTCCAAATTTACTACCCATGTACCCAACTACTGTTTCCTAGTTCAGTCTTTAGCTCTCCTAACTGAATGTCAAGCAGGTTTGTGTTGTGGAGTGTTGTCTGATATCTGTCAGTCCGTTTATCTGGTTTTCTGTCATTCAATATATTTTACTTTACTGCAAGGATCCTTCTGTCTTTAATAAAACATTTCAAAATTACCATACTGAAACTATCATTTTTAGCCAGGGGTCCGGAAAATTTAAAATCCCAATCGGACATTTGCATTTAGGCCACGCCCCCTTCAAATAGCTTATTTTAG